CTTCTTACCAGGAGAAAGCAAACAGTACCATCACCATTGTGCTTCCATGTTTTGAGAGCTGCATATCATCAAACAACTGAATGCTTTGTTGTCCTCTGCTCTAAACTCCTAAACAGTTAAAGCTGCAATCCTGAGAAGGGAGCCAGGGCCCCGCCAACCTCCAAGGGGGCCTGGGGCTCAGACAATGAAGAACTCTCTACAAGCAAGCACACTGCCCAGCTTCCCCATTTGTCAGCTAGAAAGCACTTTCTTGGGACAGCAGAACTCAGCTGCATTCAGAGAGGAGCTGAGCTCATGGACATGGCTACATTTGATGAAAACATCTCCTGGCACCCCAAATCCTCACACAGGGAGGCAGGTGTTCTGTAAATGCTAGGACGTGACAAAATGATGCTGAGAAGGAAGGAACCATTCAGATGGGTTGAGGGAACTAAAGCGCCTGGTGCCGGGATGGTTTTGGGGTGTTGGGGCATGTGTGAGACTGTTAGGATGAAGTGATGTTCTTCTCAGTGGAGGGGCACATCCTGGGATTATGGTAGGGTGCGTAGTTTCCTGGCATGGGGCACTGTTAATAGTTTGAATATGAAATGTCTCCCACAGTCTCATGAGGACGTGGTGGCCAGTTGATGAGCTTTGGGAAAGTGATGGGATCCTGAGGGCTCTGACCTAATCAGTGGATTCATTTCTTGATGTATTCAAAATAATATGACATAATTGGGACATGGTGAAAAGAGGAAGCAGGGCCTAAGTGGAGGATATGTCGCTGGGGTTGTGACCTTGAAGCTCCATCTTGTCCTAGCTTCTTCTTGTACTCCTTTCTTGGTTTCCTGTCTCCTCCTCCAACATGGGAACAGCTTCCCCTTTACATGTTCTGGCCACTATGATGCTCTGTGCACAGGCATGAGGCTGAATAAAGATGGGCTGAACTCCCTAGAGCCAAAAATAAGTTTCCTCTTAAGTTATACCAGATAACTGGTTATGTCACGAAAGATTAAGCTGGCATGGCATGGCAGCTCATCAGGGACCTATGTGGTGCCCACTACTTCCCTGGCCCTCTGCACACCCATGTGGCTTTTGCCCCACATTCCATCACCCCCAATACCACTCCTCATGTATCCCTTAGCTTAAGTCAAAGCCTCATTTAGTGCCTGATCGAAGCCAAACTCTGGATCTTGGTTGACCGTCTCTCTGCCGGTGACCCAGTCATCAGGCCTGGATCTATCCTCTCATAAGCCTCAGACCTTGAATTCGTAGATTGTTTACATAACCCAGGACCTGGTTCATGCTAACAATACTGAGCGACAGTCTTACTCCTTATGTAGGTCCCTTCATCAAAATCTCCTTCCTCCATTGGGCTTGTGAGCTCTGGGTGGGCAGGGGTGAACGGTAGGGAGACTTAATTCAATAAACATCGCATGGCAAGGGCAGGCTGAACAAACTGTGAATGAGTAAAGGGTTTCCTCCTGAACAAAGGAGTCTTTAAACCCAGCAGGTCCGTCCTGGGTCAAAGGAGGGAGCAGACCCTCTGTTTCCTTGTCCCATCTCTGAATGACAAGCAGATGTCACTCAGTGCAGAGTGGCTTGAGTGCCCCTCCTTCAGTGTGCCCCAAAGAGGAGGGAAAGGAGACTCAGGCCACAGAGGGAGCTGATGCAGCAATGCTGGGAGCCTCTCTTTTGCCTCCCTGTGGTAAGGAAGAGGACAGTGTGGCCTCAAGGGTGGGGTACCATCTCAACATCCTTGGAAGCCACAGGGCCCCACTCTAGACATAGGAGAGATGTTTCAATCCAGGCAGAAAAATCTGGGGTGATAATCAGATTTTGTCCAGGTGTTATGAGTGAACAACAGCGTCCTTGACCTCTAATCTTTTTCTGTCCAACCCTCAGAGTAGTAGCATGCTCAGCTTACATGCTCCCCACACATGTCCATCCAGTTTCCCTGGGCAACCCAAAGGTACCAGGTATTTCCAATCCAACGCACAGATGTGGAGACAGGATCGGAAAGTTTATGCTACCAGCTCAGGACAACCCACTGTGAGTCTGGAGAGCCAAGCCCAGTTGGTAGGATTCACAGCCTGGGAAATGGCACATCGGCCCTGCTCACACTAAAGATGCACAAATGCTGGCAGGCGTTTGTTTTCTCGCCCACTCTGCAGGCCAGCCATTTCTCCGGGGAACATGATGCTGTTTAGAGGCTGGAAAAAACGCTCCAGGTTGAGTGGTAGACAAACTGAAAGGGGATGTCATTTGTCTCTGGGTGGGCTGGGCTGGGGGATTTCCTTGATTGAGGGCTTCTGTTCTGAGCAGATGTTGCCGCACAGTGGACCATGTGTAGCCTGGGAATGATCACTCTACCATGTGACCCAGGGAAACTGGGTTCAGTGGAAACTGGCCCCATCTGGGATGCCTGGGTCCCTGGGTCACCGGCAGCCAGATGCCAGGACAAGGTGCGTTTCCCTGAGATACAGAGGCAAATGTTGGAAGACAATCCTGTGGGTGGCTGAAGGCACCATCTCCTGGGCTTCTCTTGGTAGATGCAGTCCCTGCTTGTCCCCATCTACTCTCCCTGCTACTGGGGAAGTAGGCTCACTCAGGGTTCAGAACAAGACCCATGTTTGTGAGGACATAGGTGTGTTCGAGTTCTGAGTTTAGTTGTCTTCTACTGATACATCGGGCTGTTTGTTGCTCTGCATTACTGCGTGGAAGCTGTGGTCCAGTCCCTAGTGCCTGGTTGGGGGTAATCTTCTCTTCCACATCTTTCTCCCTCTGCTATAGCCCTTGTTCAGATGCAGAGCTGGGGAGACACTGTCACCATCCCCTGACATGCCCTCCTGAATACTTCTTAGCGTCTGTGGTGGTTTGAATGAAAATGGCCCCTATGGGTTCACAGGGAGCAGCACTATTAGGAGGCGTGGCCTTGTTGGAGTAGGTGTGGCCTTGTTGGAGGAAGTGTGTCACTGGAGGTGAGTGGGAGGGCTTTGAGGTTTCAGATGCTCAAGCCAGGCCCAGTGTCACTTTCTCTTCTTTCTGCCTGCTGATCTGGACATAGAACTCTCAACTATCTCTCCAGCACCATATCTGCCTTCATGCTGCCATGCTTCCCGCCATGATGGACTAGACCTCTGAACTGTAAGCCATCCCCAATTAGATGTTTTACTTTATAAGAGTTGCTGTGGTCATGGTGTCTCATCACAATAATAAAACCCTAACTAAGACAGCACCTCTCAACAGAAAGATGCTTAGAATCTGAGGAGCCATGGAGGTATGCCTTCATCTTATAGATGGGGAGACTAAAGCAAGTGTGGGCAGGAGGCTTCCCCAAAGACACATGGCACTGGAGGGACAAAGTGGTGTTAGAATACCCTAAAAGAGATGCTTCCAGATCGGGAGGTGGTGCCCCTTGCCCCTCACCCCAGGTGGCCTGCGTGTGCAGGGTCTGAGGCTGATATGCGCCAGGGGTATGGCAAGAGATACTAGGCCAGGACTGCTCAGGTGCTCGAAGAGCTGGCACCTGCTCAGCCCATCACTGTGTCTCTTAGCAACTGATTGCACCAACTCCATGGAGCCCTTGCTATTTCCTGAGAATGTGTCTGTGCATCGCTTGTTGATTCTCAATAATTAGAGATCCTGTTAAAATTAAGCCAGACCATATCCTCCCAGATTGGGGGCATCGTCTTGTTCACAGTCTTCAGCATGTGGCCTGCCCTTTGCTTTGCTCACACTGCTCTGGCTCCACCTGCCTCCTAGACAGTTGGTGGATGCAGGAGGCATGCTCCAACCTCAGGGCCTTTGCATATGCTGTACCTGCTGTCTGAACTCCTCCCACACCCCCAGATATGGGTGTGGTTCTCTCTCACCTGCTTCGGGTCTTCCTCAAGCACGCCTTTACCAGTTCTCCCCAGTCCCAGGTGCCCTACCCTCTTTTACTATTTTCTTTAGCTCTTATCACTTCATGTGCCACTCATCTCGTCCTCCATCATTCCTGCTGGCCTCTGAATTCCAGCTGAGAAAGCATCTCTAGCATTCTCTGCTTCACTGCAGCCCCTGGGCTGCACACAGCACACGGCATGCACCCCATAAAGATTAACAGAAAGGAAGGAAGAGGAGGGAGGGAAAAGACAGATGGCGTACAGACCAACAGACAGGCTGACTGCTAGGTGATGCCCAGCAAACAACTTCCAGAAGAACCAGGGTCAGAGGACAGGGCTCACAACACCACACAGAGGCAAGCAGGCCAGGGACTCGGTCCAGCAAGCTGTGTGACCTGAGGTAAGCTGCTCCCTCTCTCTGAGCTTCTCCGTAACAGGAGGATCTTAGTGCTCGTGGCCACTAGGAAGGCCACAGGAGATATGCTTGAGAAATGCTTGGACCAGGCCTTAGAGAGCACCCCACAAGTTCCAGCTGTTATTAACAGGAAAGGCTCCAGCATTCACATGGGCTGAGTTGTGTGTTAAACTCCAGGGACCCTGCAGTGCCCCCAGATATGGTCACTTCCCTCAACCACTGGTGAGCATGTAAAGATAACTGACCACATCTCTCCTGTTCACGAAAGTACAGAGAGGCAAGATCTGGAAGTGATCCTGTCAAAGGGGTCAGGGAAGGCTTCCCGTAAGATCTGCCACCCAAGCTATGGGGACAGGCCATGAGGAATGGGAAGGAGAACATTGCAGATAGGCAGAGGCCATGACATACAAAGGCTGGTCATGCTCTCCACTGCATAGCACAGAGTGATCACCCTCCTTTTAAGGATCCTAAAACTCAGAGAGGCAGAACTACTTCTTGAGGTCACACAGCAAGTCACAGGGCTAAGCCAGGATTTGAAGAGAAGTCATTCTCCAGAGCCTGAGGCCACTCATGGGGTGGTGACCAGGAGAAAGGGTAGCGAAAACATTGGGTCCCCAGAAGGGACAAGTGCAGAGTTCGGGGCGGCACGAAGGGCTCGGCCCCCACCTCTGCCCTGCCTATGGGACTCCCAGCCCCCGACCCCTGCAGAAGGACGGTACCTCCATCAGGTCTATAAGCCACAGCAGCCGCTCCTAGGGAGGGTGGATGGGCAAAAGGCAAAAAGAAAAATACATGAAATGAATGTCAGGGGATCAATAGGCTTCAGCATAGCCACCACCTTCCCCACACACACCTACTGAGGGGAACAGCAGGGGCCTCAGAGGAAGCTGAAAGGCCCTGCTGCTCTGGGGAGCCGACCCTATCCTTCTCAGGGATCTCCAGAGGTCAGCAACTTGGAGCAGGCTTGGTGCCAGCAGTCACAGATGGAAAAGCAGGTTGGAAGGGAGCAGTGTGTCCCAGGTCACACCTGCTGAGGACAGCAGTGATTCAGGGGGAATCTGCTTGGAGACTTTGATCCAGCAGGCTGGGTCCCCAGGGACCTGCTGCTGCAGACTTAGAACTGAGCCTCAAATATAGCCCGGGGGAGTCCCTGGGAACAGGCAAAAGGGAGGGGCAGCAGTCCTCAGCCCAGCGCCTTCCAGAGCCTTTGAGTACGTACAGGCCCAGTGAGCACATCTCTAAGGGGGTTGCCCAGGCAGAAAGGGCAGCAGGCAGAAGCAAGGCTTCATCTGCCCCGAGGGCTGTGGCTTCATTCCACGGACCCAAGTACTCATCTTGGGCCTAAGACTGCTTTCTTTTTCTGTTCTCCCTACAAGTTGAGGATTTGGCATAACAATTCCCCTACAAGGGAGGAAACTGAGGGATAGAGAGGTAAAGGGGACTTCCCTACTTGCATGGATCTCTTAGGCTCCACCCCAGGAGCTCCTCTCCTCCCTGCCTGGGGGAGTGTGTGTGTCCTGGGCACCCTGATTGGTCACGGATTCCGAGTGGTCCCCATTTTAGGAACTGTGTGAAGGGACTTTGGGGTACTCTCCCATCTGCCCCAAAGCTTCTTGTGCAGAACCACTCTTGACGTGCGATCTGCTGTGCCCAGGGTGTGCCCTGTGCCCTGGGTCCTTGCTGGTGCTGTTCTCAGCTAACCTGAGGAAAGGCAGTGATGGGAAGGCCGTTGCTACTCTGCAGAGCTCCATCCTGGCACAGTGGCCTCTTGGCTCCTCTTGTCCTACAGCCTGCTACGTTCTCAGGACCTCAGGCTCCTGCAGCCAGAGCTAGCAGGACCTTATGCAGTTTATACATGGAGAGACTGAGGCACAAGGAAACTAGAACTTAAGCCCAGATTTGCTGCCTCCTAGACCAGAAGACACTCTCGCTGTGGCACTCTGGTCCTGCCTATCCAAGGGCTGCAGCCGGTACGTGACTCCCTGCGTTTAGAGCTGTGCTTAGTGGCTCTTGGAGCTCCACACGGACATTTCAAGGCCAAGGTCATAAGAGCCAGACTCAGAGAAAAGTAGACTGCAGACCAGGGCCCATAGCCTGAAATTACCTCATCATGAGGTGCTTCATGGCCTGTGGTTGCAGGAAACCTGGCAGTCCGGGGGCAGGGCTTCTGTCTAGCTCTGGAAATGACCTGCCCTTCCAGGGACTGGGAAAATAGTCGCTGGCCCACCCAGAGCCCCGGAGGGAGGCATGGCAATCTCTGGGGTCATCGCAGGAAAGGACAGGGCCCTTGAAGATGACAGGGATGGGGTTAGAGGTCCTCCAGACCCCAGGGCTCGAGTGTTAAAGAAAAGCCATGTGAGGAGCCAGGATCTGTAGGAGTGAAGGCTGCCCTGTGGGGTCACCAGACAGCCACAAGTAGCTCATCCCTCCTGCAGGCCACCCTGCCATTGAACTTACTGAGTTCTGGCTTCAGAGCCACCATGACTTCACTCCCTTTCCGAGGATGGCAATACCAGCTCCGGACCCCGAGCCCACCCACCTGGCTCTCCCTCCCGTAGGCTACATGGCTGTCCCCTAAGATAAGAAACATGGCATTTGTTGTTGGGCGTGGTAGCGCACGTCTTTACTCTCAGCACTCGGGAGGCAGAGGCAGGTCGATCTCTGTGAGTGTGAGGCCAGCGTGGTCTACAGAGCAAGCTCCAGGCCAGCCAGGGCTGCATAGGTCTCAAAACAAAAGGAAAAACAAAGACAAAAATACAAAACAAAACAACAACGACAGAAAAAGCAAACAAAACCAAGGCTTTTGCCCTTGAAAATCTTGGGAGCAGAACCACATTCCAGGATGGATTAGATGCTGTTCTGGGAGCTGCTGAGTTGGCAGGAAAAGCCAAGCCAGGCTTGGGGCTCCACAGACAGCAGGTGGCCTCTTGTGAAACCCAGAACCACAGTCCAAACCACCCTGACAGCTACTGTGTTAAGCACTGACCCTAAGCTGAACACCATGCCTTCCCCATTTGATCTTCCTGTGAACCGCAATTATATAGTTTTTGTTTTGTCTAATTATCCTTTACAATTTGGTACATTTTCACCGTGTGTGTGTGTGTGTGTGTGTGTGTGTGTGTGTGTGTGTGTGTGTGCATGCGTGTGTGTGTGTCTGCACACATGTGTGCAGGTGCCTCCAGAGGTCAAAAGAGGGCATCAGACCCTCTGGATGTAGAGTTGCAGGTAATGCACAGGTGGAAATCAGAGGACAATGTGGAGGAGTCAGTTCTCTCTCTCCACCATACGAGTCCCAGGGCCTGAATTGGTTTGGTGGCAAGCACCTTTACCCTCTGAGACATTTTGTTGGCCCCTGTCACTTAAAAAAGAACAAAACAAAACAGAACTTTTCCTTAGGATTCCCAGACTGAGAGCCACAGAAGGCATGTCTTTCTTATGTGTCCACTGTCCCCGTGTCCGGCACACAGCAGGTACTCCACCATAGCCGGGCTCTTACAGATGAGGAGGCCGAGGCTCAGTGAGGGAAAGCTAACATCTTCACGGCACCCCGACCTTCTCACCAGGGGTAGGGCAGGGGCAGCTCACCCTGGCTGAGCTGACCGTCGTGGAGGTGCCGTGGCTGCCTGTGGATGATCCCGTGTCACTGTAGGACACCATGGAGTAGGTGTCTCCGGCACCAGGGCCTGGGGGCTGCCGCGCCTTCATGGACTCTATCTCCCGCCTCAGCACCAGGTGGTCAAAGCAGTCCAGGTCTTGGGGTGAGATGGTGCTCCTCACTTCAGACAGGAGAGAGAACTGCAGGGGAGGGTGGGACAAAGGGGATGCTCAGACGCTCAGGAGAGAACTCCATCAGCATGTGAGACTGGGACCTCTACTCACAAGTGAGCTGCATGCGAGTCTGCTCTCCCCTCCTTAACCCCATGTGGCTCTCCAGCATCCACATGTCCTTCCTCAAACACCAGGCCCAGCATCACCTGACTCCTTCTTCTCTGCCACTCTTCCTTCTCAGCACACACAGGTGACAAAGTCCCAGAAGGTACTACCATATTCATGCCACAAAGCCTTTGGCCATCCTTTCCATCCAGAGTGGCCTCTCAATCCTATCCCGCCATGGCCCCCTGTATCTACCCAGGGTTCAGTTGAGCTGAGGTCCTTGGTGACAGGGTCGGGGCAGAAGGCACAAAGTCACCTTGGCGTGTGTGTTGAGCAATTCAAACAGTGCCATGACCAGGGCCTCCACAGAGATGGCACCACCACGGTACTGGTCCAGGTAGTACATCATGGTGGCACGCTCCTGCTCTGTCAGCAGGTGCCGGGCTTGGTCATCCAGAAGTGCGCGTGTCTGATTCCCCAGGCTGCTCAGGGTCACCTGGGAGCCAGCGGGGCCCTTGTAAAATCCTGGCTGAAAAGACAGAAGGACACAGGGGACTCTAGGCTGCTCGGGATCCAGAGGACCTGGTAGAGCCAGTAGCAATACTGTGGAGGGATGCTGCGGCTTCTAGAGGTCCTTTGATGATCTATCTCCATATACATGGGAACCTCTCCACCCAACCCTGGGGTGATGGCACTGTATGGTCATCTCTGGTCACAAAGCACTCATGGGGCACTTTCATATTTGGCTCGTGTGTATCCTTGTGCCTATCTGTTCACACACTATGTGATCCTCTGGGCTTTACTATCTCTCTTAGTTAGCTGTGGTGATAAGAGTCCCTGCATTTCTAAACTATAATTCCGATCTATACCCCTAACCCATTCCAGATTACACCAATAGTCCTCATCACTGACCAGTTGATACCATCCAGTCTCTCCTCAGGTTCTTTGGCCCACACGGTCACCCTGCCAAGCGCATCTAAAATGATCTTGGGAACACAAACTTGGTGTGGTGGACTCTGCCTACACAGTGCTCACTGCCCCCATCTCTTTCCATGGCCCCAAGCCCTGTGAGTACAGGTCAGCCTGCCTGTCACTCTGCTCCTAGACCCCACTCATTCTCTCCTATTCTTCCACTAACCCATACCCTCCTCTGTCCCAGGGCCCTGGCACATGCTCTTGCCTTGGCATGGCTCACCCCTCTCCCTCTGCTCAGTGTCCATCTAGGTTTACTGACTCATCCCTTACTCTTTCCTAATGCCCACCTTGCCTCGATGGCTCCCAGTCTGTTTTCTACTTGGATACTTGTTTGAATGCTTGCACTGTCTTTATTTGTGAGTCTTCCACTGGGTGTGACCCCCCCCCCCCCACACACACACCCTGAGCATCGGGACAGTTGGTCAGCCTGGCTGAAGCTCCCTACAGTGTGCAAGCCCCTGTGCGTACTCTGCCCGGAACTGAGGGGAGAGGAGGAAGATGCTGACGATGTCCCACAGATGAAGACACCTACCTTGCTTGTTCCTTCTTCTGTGAGGTCCCCTGGAAACCTATGGAGAGAAACAAGCCCCTTCAGCACATGTGAGCACATGGAATAGGGGCACACAGGGAGAGGCTGAGCTGGAGCAGGAAAGCCAGTCTTTGTATCTGGCATGGTGGCACATGCCTATGACCTCAGCACATGGGAAGGTCTGAGGATCAAGACTAGACTGAGCTACAGAGCAAGTTCCCAGCCAGCCTAGGCTATGTGACCCTGTCTCAAAAAAATTCTTCCCATCCCCAAATAGAGCAATAATGTGAGAAACCACATACCCATGCATCATGGTCACTGCTTAGGAGCTGCTGAAGGGCAGGTGACCCCCCGAGACCTAGAGGTGGCTTTTGGCCTTCCCAGTTAGTAACATGTTTAGCATTGCCACACCATGCAAGGTAGTCTCCTGAGTGCTTTCTGTCCTGATGGGACCCAGAGTTCTCTGGTTGGCATGGGAGCAAGGGAGAGTCAGGAAGCATGGGTGTGGCAGAATGAAAGACCTCTGGCAGGTGACCCAGGTCAACCATCTCATCCCCTGGGAGGGTGGGGAAACAGGACCGGAAGCAAGTTGTAGGGACCCCTTGGCTCTAGCTCATATTTTCATGAGAAAAAGAAGGCTTATGCTGCAAGAGTTTAGAATTTTAAGAAATAACCAGAAATCCAGTTTTTAAACAGGAAATCTGATTTTAAAAATATGTTGGAAATTAATTAAAAAAAAAAAAGTAACACTATACTGGAGAAAGGAAGGGAATGAGGGGGAGAAATAAGAAGTGGTTGGGGGTGTCTGACTAGAGTCACCAGCCAGCAGGTGGAGACGTCTGGTGGGGACCGTCGGTGACACGGGTTACGTTGCTAGCAGGCATATACCCACCCAGCCTCTCTGCTTGGCTTCTGAGACTCATTTCATCCCAAGCACCTCCTGGGGTCCTCTCTAGCAGTGTGGGATGGGGGCAGAGCCTACATTCAGATGTAACACTAGGCACCCAGAGACAGTTAGGTGATTTGCTTGATGGCAGAAACTGGGGGCCCTAAGTCCTGCACTTCAACTTTCCCTGGGGACATTGAGGCTAGCAGAGAAATGTGAAGAGCCCACGCTCATGGCCGTGAGTGGAATGGATCTCAGGGTGGGGACACTAGGCTGAGAGTCATGTGGCGGAAAATGAGAGGAACATTGATTCTCAAAAGTCACCCAAGGGTCCCTGAACCCTGTGCCTGAGGCCAGACCCTGCTGAATTGGTGGCGCTTTCCCCAATCCGGGAACTGGCAATCCACTTGGTCTGGTCCACGGTGGTACGTGCGTGGGGCAGCCTTCCAACGTCCTTCACCGTCAGGATGAGGTGCCGGGATGACTTGAGCAGCTTCACCGCCTCGTCATGCAAGATGCTGAGAAAGCTCCGCCCATTCACCTCCAGAATCTGGTCCCCAACCTGCCAAGACCCAACACCATCACATGGGCTGCCCTCGTCCCAGCTCTCCTCTCGCCAGACTGAGATGAGGTCATTGAGGTTCAGAGAGGCTATGTGGATGCCTGGGGGTCACATAAGAAGGAAATGACAACTTGCTTCCAATGCCAGCCCCGAGCCCTGCTCCTGTTACTAGAAAGGACACTTCCTATCTAGTGACAGCTCTGAAAGTTAAGTCAACTATGACCTTCCCAAAGTCCCCCCCATCAGAAGCAAGCCAGTTCAGAGACCTGGGTCAGATGAATGCACTGCAAAATGAGGTGAGGGGAGTGAAGGTAGACACCTGTTATTTGCATATCTGAGTCTATGTTGTTGAGATTTCTTATCTAGCACATTTTTTTAAAGATTTACTTATTTTATGTAAATATATAAGTGTGTGTGTGTGTGTGTGTGTGTGTGTGTGTGTGTGTGTGTGTGTGTGTGCACTGCATGCATGTGTGCCTGGTGCCCACAGAGGCCAGAAGAGGGGGGTCAGATCCCCAAGAACTGGAGTTGCAGGTGGTTGTGAGCCAACACATGAGAGCTGGGAACTGAACCTGGGTCCTCTGCAAGAGCAGCAAGTCCTCTTAACCACTGAGCCGTCTCTCTACCCCTTGTTGCACAAATCCTAAATGGTCTTATAATAAAAACCCAGAACCAGATATTGGGGTAAGTGCTGAAAGATCAGAGAGACAAAGGAACAAGCCGCTAGAGAAACTTTTTACCACTACTGAATCCTCAGGCCGAATGGAAGGCAAGATCCTATCTCCACAAATCCTGTGACTGAAAGCCTCGGAGTCCTCAGCTGAAAGGCTCTAGTTCCTGCCTCCTCATGCCTTATATGCCTTTCTCCGCCCAGCCATTTCACTTCCTTCCTAGTGCTGGGATTAAAGGTGTGTGTGCTTCCCAAATACTGGTAGCAGAAGCATGAGATCCCAAGTGCTGGGATCAAAGGTGTGTGCCACCACTGTCTGGCTCTGTTTCTCTCCTAGACTGAATCAATTTCATGTAACCCAGGACGGCTTTGAACTCACAGAGATCCAAATGGCTCTCTGCCTCCCAAGTGCTAGGATTAAAGGTGTGTGCCACCACTGCCTGACCTCTATGTCTAACTCTGGGGCTGGCTCTGTTCTCTGATCTTCAGGCAAGTTTTATTAGAGTATAACAAAATATCACAGTAACCCTAGCTTACATTCTTTTGTTACTTTAGAATGTCAGCAACACTTTAATTTATTAAAGAAAAAACAAAAAAACAAAAAACAACACCAAAACCAAAAACCACAATAACTAAGACACCCAGCCTCTCACTGAAGAAGTACATACTGCTCAGAATCTTATGACAAGCAGGCAGTTTTATTTTGTAATATAAAACAATAGACAAGCAAGCATGTTTAAAATGAAAAGATAAAAAGACAGAGACAGGGCTGCAGAGATGGCTCAGAGGTTAAGAGCACCGGCAGCTCTTCCAGAGGACCTGAGTTCAATTCCCAGCACCCACATGGTGGCTCACAATCATTAATGAGACCTGGTTCCCTCTTTTGGGGTGTAGGAATACATGCAGACAGAATACTGTATACATAATAAATAAATAAATCTTTTAAAAAAGACAGAGACAAAACCACTAGCTCCCCAATAAAAGCAAGTCTGAAACAAAGCCAGAAGAGGCTTCGGGAGTGTGCAATGGGGAGCACTGGACCTCCTTCTCTCTCAGGACATTCTCAAGTCCATGGAGGTGACACCAGGCTTGCTGTAACCTGAAGGGTGGCCAGCCCACCTGCTGGCTAGTTTCAGCTAGATTTCTTTCCCTCTGTCTAAGCCTGCATTATCAATAGTGGCAGAGTCAGACTCATCCATGGCCCGAGCTGCTTGTGGGGGTGCACTTTTCAAAGGTGATGTGGCTGCCTCGGAGTCATTTACGCTACTGTAAGTAACGTCAGGGAGCCCACTGGTTCACTAGACTAGACCTTGGAGGAGGAACTGCTTCTCTGGTTTGCCATTGATGCCGTTTCTAGGGAGAAGGGATATTTGTTTATTTCTCCGCAGGAAAAGTTAAACAACAGGATGCTCACCCTCAGTTTGTGGTCACAGCACTAGTGAGGGGAGCTACATGGTGCAAACCTGGGTCAATCTGGCCCGAGGCCCATTTGCTTTCTATTTCTGCAGCCGGTTGCTGCCAGGGGACCACATGGCTTGGCTTCCAACCCGGCCTATCCCAAAGCCACCTTCCTTAGCTCTGCCTACAACAGTCGGACCCTGACTCTGACCCAACCACCAACTCTGCCCATATTTCTCCAGCTAGCTCTCCAGCAAGTCTCAATCACTCTTCCCCCTTACTCCACCCATGGTGGCCTCTCTCCTGGGTCCCCACCTGCTCATCTGGTGGCTCCTGAGTCAACATTTCATCTCTGTGGGTTTATATTCAAATGGCCACAGTCATCATGCAGGAGACTGTAAACGTGTGGGAAAGGGCTTCAGAGACCGTCAGACCCGGGTTCAAGTCCTGTCCCTGCTCTATCTATGCCATATGACCTAGCCCCACAACCTGCCTCCCTCCTGCTTTCCTCCGATGGATGTGAACTGGGGCCTTGGTCCAGGATTGTCCTCCTCCAAATGGCTAGCTGTCCAGGCCTGTCTCTATACACCACCAAACATGGGTACCACCCACAATGACAAGTCTCTCTCCCTTGTCACTGGCCTCCCTAGTTAGAGGACTGAGCATCTGAGAACGTACACAGCTCAATAAAGAATGTGGGACAAGACCCCACACTGCCTTAGGGCGTGGCCAGCAAGGGCTCCGACGTGCAGCTTTCTCATGATGACTTGGATTTTGTCAGTTCTACTTTGGCCCACCTCTCTTGGCCTACTCTGAAGCCCAGGAGAGCTGCTCATGCGCTAGCCTTACTGTGTAGAGGGAAAAGTGACCTCCCTCCACGGTCACTTGCCCGGAGCCTGTCAGGCAGCACCCCCAGACGTCATGGCACTGTTCTGGAGTCTCTGTCTCGGGGGGAGCCACGGCCAAGGCTGTACCTCTTATATTCCAGTCTCATTTTTGTAAGTGTCCCTCTGCAACTTCAACTTTTAATCTTCCGTTCCACACACTTTATTACGGCTTGCAGTGTAATTAAAGGAACTTGTGTCTGGGAGAGCAGCTGTGTCCAGGCATGCTTCTGAGAGCCTGGCTCTGGATCCCACCGGGAGATGGCCAGGAAAGAATAAGCCTATGAGGCCTATGAGGCTGGACTAGAAGCCAGATAAAATACAGGTCACCTTGTTAAATGGGAGCTTCAGATAAGTGGCAAATACTTAGAATCATGAATGCATGGCCTCAATATCAGGGGACACCACACAAGTCCTCTCAGTGGCGCTCCTCGATTACATGAAACTCCTATGGCCATGGGCCTCCTGATGCTTACAGCTTAGGCCTGGCAGGTCCAAGAGAGGCTACAAATCACCTATAGGGACCAGGCTGCTGATTGTGGTTCTGAATGTCTGTCCTCCCCCCTAGCTTGGATTCAGAGCCTACCATTTCTACAGTCTGAGCCTGTGAGTGGTCCAAGACAGCGCAGGCCTCAACCACACCCTGGGTATCCATGTGTTGGAATCTCAGATTGACTGGCTGAGCATGACTCGGGCCTGCTGAATAAGCCTATGCCTGCGGGAGTAGGCAGAGGTGATAGGGCTTCCCTGCCATCCAGCTGGAGATTAGCAGGGTGCTGGAGTAGGACACAGGTCACCCAGATGGAGGCATGTGAGCCCAATTCCCTCATCCCTTTTTGGCCTCTTCCTCCAGGGCTAAGCTGGAAACTACCATGTTTGAAAGGTTAGGGTTGGGCCCTCCATGATGCCTTCCCCAGCATCTGACCTGGTCCAAGTCACTCTACTCTCTAGGTTCCTTTACTCCCTTGGGCCCTCGCATTGTAGGAAGGTGTGGTGTTTGAACAAGAGTGGGCCTCATAGGTGCATGTTTGAGTGCGTGGTCTCCAGTCAGTGGAACTATTTGGGAAGGAGTAGGAGGTGTGGCTCTGTTGAAGGAGGTGTGTCACTCGGGGTGGGGGAAATGGAGAATTCCATCTTCCGATTGCTTCCTCTTGCTTTGGCTTGTGTCATGAAGTTGGAGGAGATTATTCTCACCCTCTCAAAGAAAAGCTATGAGCTCTGTCCACTGAGATGTGAGTCTTTCTTCCCAGCCCAGAGTGAGATGTTGTGTGTATAAGCAAGGTGACCATCGGAACCTTTCCTTGGGTCTCCTACCCATGGAGAAACTGAGGCTCAGCGAGGACACATGGCAACAATGGCAAAGTCCAGCCCTGGAACCAGTGCAGGGCGCTCTCAACCCTGGTCCATGGGCAACGTGATAGACCATCTAATATTGGCTGGCTTGCTGTGGGCACTGACAGAAGGATGGGGAAGAATAGATGAGGGAAGGCAGCTTTATTTTATTGGTCACCATGGTAACCCTTTTTGGCACTAGTGATGGAGGAGGAGAGCTGGGCCGTGGGAAAGCCCTTCATTTTAAGGCATAGAGAAACCTGCTCTATCACCTCCAGGCCACCCAGGGGCAGGCTCATGCTCTAGCACTCTGAGAAAGGGAGGAACACAGGCATGAACAGGGCACTGCTTCCCTCTGAACTTGGCCACCAGGGGGCAGGATTCACACCCTACAATGTGGGACCCACACAGGAACACCAGGGAGGTGGCCCTCAGAGGCAGCAGGGTGGCTTATGCAGCCTCCAAAAGACCTGAGAAAGATAATTCCATGGTTCTATGCCTCTACCCTCAAAATAAGAACAACACCCTGGTGACCAGGCCACCTGGACTGCTGTGTAACAGATCACTGGGAACATGATTTTTGAAGGGGGCCTCGGAGTCTGATCCCAAATCCAGATTCTGCTATTTACCTGCTCTGCATATGAGTTACCTCATTGCCCAGTTACCACCTCTGGAAAACTCAGAAAATATCAGTTGCTACTCCTGAGTAAGCATGC